GCTTGAGACCACTGAGCCATCTCACCAGCCCCGTGGCATTTCTCTTGAAGTAGAAGAGCTGGGCCAACTGTGCATGTGCTTTAGCTTCCTGTTTCAAGTGGTGTGCATGTTTGCTTAACAAAATCGTGTCTTCATCCCCAAATCCTGTATGCTCTTGCCAGATCAGTGCTTTCCTAACCCTGCCCGTGCCCCTAACCCCAACCCCAAAGCTACATACTGTCAGAGTTGCTCCTTAGTGGTGCTCTACCCAGATCTCCTTTATCCGATGAGGACATTAAGCACAGAGGGGCTCAGTGTTTTCTCTAAGACTGGACTGTGTATCAGAGGCCAGACTAGGGCTATAGCCCAGGCTTCTGACCAGATGTGGCAGGCAGCCCTACCAGCTGCAGTGGCCCTGCCTTGTTACATGCTATCGTGTACATGTCAGCCCCGTGAATGGTAGCAGTGCCTGAGCATCAGCTATTAGCTTACATTCTGTTGCCATATGGATTTAGTCTTGCCTGGTGATACTATGGGTTGTAAATGTGGGATGTGCTTTCCTGGTGTGGCTGGCTGCACGTCACTGAGCTAGTCTAACTCCCTGTTGCCTCACCTCAGATCACACAGCCCCCGCTGAGGCTGCTTTCTTGATTTGTCTGGAGGATTTGCTTTGAGAGCTGTATATACTGTCAGTAGCTCCCACACCCCAGGGCTCCAGTCTCCTACGCAAGTTCCTGTAGCACCTTCTATGGTGTTTCTTAGGCCAGTTTCTCGCCTGCCATTCTGATTCCTGCCATTTTCCTATGTCCAGCATATTACGGAGGTGAAGGTTCCTGAGAAGCAGGTCTTACCATCCAAGCCCACCTCAGCTGTGGCCCTCAGACCTGGATCCAAGAGCACCTTAGCTGCTCCAAAGGCCACACCAGCTGCTGCTTCTGCTTCTGCTTCCACAGTACCAAGCAGCAGAAACCCCCAAGTGTCGGTGCCCAAGAGGCCTGCCGGTGAGTGTTACCTGTCCCCTTTTCCTGTGAGGATCACTGGGGAGGAGAGCAGTGTCCTGGGCATTTACAAAGCCTTGATCTCCACACGAGTGATGGATATTCAGAGACAGAGTAAAGAGGAATCTTGTGAAAGCCCAAGTACAATTTATTGTTCAGTCCTAGCAACTTCACACTTCCCAGTACATTATAAGAAGTAACCTGGGCTGGTGGTGCGTAACCTGTAATGCCAGTGCTCTGGGAAACTGAGGCAGGAAGATCGAATGTTCATGTTCACCCTGGGCAACTTAGAAAATTAGCAACTTAGATCCTATTTCAAAACAAAAAATATGTCAAGCATGGTAGTAAAGGATTGTAATACCTATAAGCTGAGGCAAGAGAATTGCCGCAGGTTCGAATCCATCCTGAACTATCTACGGAGACCCTATTTAAAAAAACAAAACATAACAGCAAACAAAAAGCAGAAGGGCTGTGGATATAGCTCAGTATAAAAGCCCTTCAATCCCCAGTACCACAAAAGTG